GTATGCCCTTCCTGACGCAACCACAGACCACCGAGCTACCACAGCCCTCTGTGGGGAGCAGAGAGCTGCTATCTAGGACACCCGGAGGAGCAGATGGTGGGGCGAATGAGGGTGGGGGCAGGTGTGGGTGCTTCACCTACCCCACCCACATTTTTGATGTTGTCTGTGCCGGAGCTTGAACCGGCAATGTTCCGATCACAGGCCCACCTTCTCTAACCTCTGCGCCACCACTCCCCTATATGTGTGTATATATATATATGTGTGTGTGTGTGTGTGTGTGTGTGTGTGTGTTTAAATAAACAGCATTTCTTTTTATAATGTGTTTACTGGGCATCTTCCTTACGAGGGGGTTGTCACAACAAGCAAACTCACATGGACAATTTGGCCATTGTTTTACGCTGGCTGCCCTTCATTATGTAACCTGGGCTCGAACCTGCAGCTCCTGGATTATGAGACCACTTCACAGATTTTCTGGGCTGGGGTGGCAGCTACATGCTTCCATAATTTACACCTAATGGTTACAGGAAAAGAAACTTGCTCTTTTTTTAATTTCCTTTTTTTTTTGTCTACCCAACAAGACTTTCAAAGTAATTTTAGCACATCATGTGGTTTGTGTCTGATCTTTTTGGGCCAGTTGCCAGTAAACCAGGCAGAAAATAAATCATTTTTATTTGGTTCCGAGTACGTTTTGGAGCAAGAAGTGATTATTTTGTTAACTTATCCTTTTATGCTTAAACATAACCAAGTATTTTTAATAACCCTAACTAAGTAGTTATATTTAAATCTTTAACTTTGACCCAAAATTCTATGGGAGAAAACAAAGAGAAAACAGTAAAGTTGACCCAGTAAACACATTTTAAAGAATGTTAAACTTTAACACGTGTGGGATTAGAACTTTTTCTGTTAGTCATTTCGTTTTATCCACTCAATCTGTTTTATTATTAAACCTGTCTTATGCAATACATTAGATTAGTAATGAACTTGTTTCTGTTGAGTTAGTTTCTTTTGCAAAAAAAAGAAAGTGGAAAACTCTTTGAAATACGATTTATTCCCTTATTGCTGATTTTCCTGCATTGATGCAACAGAGCTCGTAGTGGGACAGTTGCACAAAACTTCAAGTCATGCACGAAGAGACTTCAAGGAAATGGGCATTTCCTCTGACAGCAAATTGAATCTGAAAGTCTTTTGAAGACTATATTTGTTAATAAATGTAGAATTGACAAAAGCCAATTAAAAAATAATAATTTTTATCTGTAAATTGTTTTATTTTTACAGTTTTATCGTTGTCTGGTTGATACATATTTAATGCCCAGCACGTGTTTGTAATGTTATCTGAGAAATGAGTTTTATTGTTTACGTCAAGAATCCTTTAAATATTTTACCGTATAAAGTTATCAGTTAAAGCTCAGTTTCAGCTGGAGAATCTAAAAATGTGCCACAAAAACTAATTACCTTTTACAACCGTGCAATTTCTTCTTTGTAAAGGATCAGTTTCCTCCATTCTCCAACATTTGCCGAACGTCGCTGTGCATAATGAATTAAAAAGCCAATTCTGAGTCCTTAAATATGAAGCAGTCCTGCACAGAAAAGAAAAGCAACACCACTGGAATAAACAGTCTGGAGTTAATTCAGTGTTTTTTTTTATCTAAAAGGCAAATCATGTTTTTTTTTATACAAATTAAATTCATTCACGCACATTTTTGACACTTAAATGTGGACGTAACACAGAAATTGGCAACTTAAGGCCTGAGGGCCAAAAATGGCCTTTGGACAATCTCCATCAGGCCCCCAATATCCTTAGTTTAAAAAAAAGCTATAACAAGACTTATGGAAATTTAAATTAAACATCATACGCAAAACTTTTTTTAAAACGTTTTTTAAGTTTTTGTGTT